AAATGAGCGCATCCTCGCAGAAAGACCATCCACTACACATTGTAGATGGGCAGGTGCTGATCCAGAACAAAACGCCCATCAAATCTTGAACATCCTCTCCATGTAGTTGGCAAAGTCACCCGGCCCTGCCTGCGCGACAAGGCTCACTCCATGCGAACGCGCCGGCAATCCCCCTGCGTCGTTGATCCGGCCGAGCTCGGTAAACTCGGCCAGGATAATTTGGAGACGTAGATTTTTCTGCTTTCTGGGCTCCCTGCGGATATGCTCTCGCATCTCTCGCATTGCGCGTGGGAGCTCTCTGCGCTGCTGGGGGTCGCGTGCGCTGCGCCCCTGTTGGGCGAGATCCTGAAAGTGCGGCGGGCCTCGCGGATGGTCGTTGAATCGTCGTCTGCTGCGCGCGCCCCCCCCCGTGAGCTGCCGCCGCGTCGAATAATGTCGCTCCTGTTTCGAGTGGCGATGACGGCGCGGTGCGTGAGCTCCTCGCCCAAGGCCTCCTGGAAAATGGCGACGTCTTCAAGGCAGGACCCCCCAGCACCGGCGGCCTCGGCCCCCTGGTTCGCCGGCGCGGGGCCCTCCCTGTGAGGGGCCCCGCGAATGCGGCGCGGCGATCTGACCTGGCCCCGCGCCTGCGCATTCCGACGCACCCCAAGTCGACGCGTGCAAATGCGAAAACGTGATACTGAAGCAAATCCTTCGTACTTGTCCCAAGTTGATCTTAAAAGTCCAGCTGTGCCCATCGCGGCCATTCCCACCTCCATCGACGACCTGCGCGTTGAAAGCGGCCGCCATCTCGGCCATCTTCCGACCGCGAACTTCGCATCCACATTCCGCGTGGAAATCGCCACGTACCGCGACAGCATTTCCGTCGCGAGTTGCTCGCGCCAAAATCTGGTGCACTTGTTCGCGCACCTGGCCCAGCGCTTCAGCCGGATATCCCGCGCCCCGCACAGAGCGAAGCCCTCCGCTACGCCAGCCGCAAATCAACGCGAGGCTATGGATCAGGAACGAAATGCGTCGACCAGGCGCGGCCAACCAGCCGTGCACGTAGCAATGCGCCCGCGGCTGAAGCGGAGTAATCTTCGCGATGCAAGTACAAGCGGCGCCCGCCCTCCAACTCCGCTGCTTGGCTTCCCGCGCGAGTTTCACCGGGCAAAATTCCGTCCCAATCTAAAGTCGGCAATTCAAGCGCCAGCTCTGCACGGCAAGTCTACGTTGGCCATTGGGCCGCGCATTCTTGCAAAACGCATGCAATTTCCCATCCCGTGCCGCCCCTATTCTGGGCCCTCGGCCAGTCCTGCGCCGCTCTTGCCCCCACCTTTGCCCCTGCCCTTCTTGGGCGAGGGGCCTATTTTCAATCTCTCCTGATGCGCGCTCGCCATCAGCTCGCAGCGAACGAAATCTCCCCAAACTTCCAAATTGCGCGATGAATTCCTTGCCGTCCACTCCCGCGATGATGACACTCCCCACCAACGTGCGAAGTTGTTCGGGATGCTAAGCCACGCGCACATACTATCGTAGTCCCACTTCACCAGTGAACGTTTGCGAGCAAACAGAAATGATCGTGGAATCCGTTCGCCTGAGGGCGCATCTGGGAATATGTTGGCATTTGCCATCCCCGTTCTGCAATGCATTCTCCCAGACTGCCTCGATCGCTTGCCCCCTCATATCCTCCGCGCGGAACTTGAAGAGGGGAATGCCGGTGAGCCACCCTTGGGGCGCGCGTCAATGGGCGCGGGTGCCCCAACAAAAACCATAGTAAATTTAGGACCCACTTCTTCGCCTCCTTCTCCTGCGCGCCGGCGAGGCCGTTGGCCACTGCAGTGACGTTGCGCTCATCTGCGGGTGAAGTTCTCGGGGCGCTGTTCCAAGGTGGCGGTTCAGCGTCGATCCCGACGGAATTCATGTTCACCTGGTCAACTTGCTCGCGCAAGCGATGGATCTTCTTATCCGCGCGTCTCCTGTGTCTTCCGGGAAATGTCCCGGGAAGGCTTTGCCTCCACTGTGGCCAGACTACCTCGGAAAGCACTGAGCTAATGTGTTTTGCGACTGCGCGCTTGTTCTGGAAGTGGGCCTTCAGGGCGCCCCTATATTCAATGACCTGTTCGAGGGTGCTCTCGGCCCGCTGCGCGCCCATGGCCATGTCGACAACCTTTTGGACGAAGGGCTCCAGCTTCTGGCCCATCAGGCTGGCGATGGCTGCGAGCACGACGTCACCTATGGTTCCAGACGCTGCCCCCATGCGCCCCGCTCGCTCGCGGTTTTTCGAAATGCGACCTGCGCATGGTGTTGTCCTCCTCCCCCTTCCCCTTGACCTCCGCGCAATTTCCCTTCTCGTCCTTCTCGCCCTGCACCGCGCGGTCGTTGAGGCCATCTATCGCCTGGAACGAGCCTTGGAAACGGCGTGCCTGAGGCGCCAGAACTTGGGGCGCATCATCCGAGGAAGTATTGAAGAGCCTTCCATATGGTGCACCTGGGCGACGCGTTCTCCAGGCTGGGGTCTTGGGGGGCACACTCGTGCTTGAAGCTCCTGGACTATCCAATGAGTTCAAGACCGAGCCTGGGATTATCTTGCCCAGCTCGGCCTCAAGGTCAAGGTCGACTGAAGATGTGCTCGCACAATATTAAAAGTAAGAGCAACAGGCGCGGGGGGGGCAATTTCGCCCGCAGCCGCGTTGGCTCTCTGTGCACACGTGGCGCACCTGAGAAAGCGAGTAACGTGTATTTCGAAGCGTCTCCCCCCGTCCTCCCTCGCCTCTTTCGCCCCCCCCCCCCCCCCCCCCCCCCCGCCCCCGCTCCCCCCCCCCCCCCCCCTGGCCCCTCATGCTCCTCTTCATCATCCTTTCAAGACCCTTTCAATATCGACCCTAAAACTAACTACCGACGTGGCCACGAGAGGGTACCTTCCTCCTATCTATCCTGCCACCCCGAGGTCCGCGAAGTTGGTTTAGGTGGAGGAGCCCGCCCGTCAAAAGAGCCCGACGAAGGAGTCGACGAACTCGTGGGCGTCGAACGGAGGCCTGGGACCCTGTGATTTGCTGGCTGCCTCGCGCCGCGGCCTGCTGCGTCTCGCAGGGTGCCTCGCGCCGCCGCCGTACTCGTGTTGGTAGCCGTCGGAGTCCGCCTGGTAGGAGTGGTCCTGGGGCTGCTCGCGGCGTCTTCTTCGGTCTGGCTTTCGCCGTATGTGCAATCGTGCTCGGACGCGTCGCCCTCGCCGGCCTCGTACCGGTTGACGCTGGCTCCGACGCCAGCGAGAATCGCCCTGGCGCGGGCTGGGATGGGGAAGTCGTCGGCGGCCATGGAGGCGAAGGCTGCCGCGCTGGGTGGGCAAATGCCCGCCGCTTGAAGCGCTGCAGTGGCCGCTGCTCGCCACTGCGCACCCGTTCTCGCCGCTGATCCAATGGCCATAGCTGCCGCTGCCGTCTTCTCTCGCACCCGGGTGCCCCCTCCCAGAGCAGCCGCGGCCGCGCGTGTAGCTGATGACGTCTGGGTGCCCGGCCGTTCGCCCGCTGCCACTGCCATCTCTTCTCGCATTCGTGTCACCCGAACTGCAGCTGAGGAGGTCTGCGTTTTCTGCCTGCCGCAGCTACCTGTAGCCGCTTCTGTTCTCGCACACTGGGGCCCCAGGCAGTGGCTGATGACGTCTGGACGCCCGGACTCGCGGCACCTCCCGCTGCCGCTGCCGTCTCCTCTCGCACGCGAGTGTCCCCGCCTGCTGCCTTGTGCTTCGCCTCTCGCTTCTCGCAGGGTGGCTTCGCCGTGGCCTCTGCACTGTAGCTGACGTCGTTGGCCTCGTGTTTCGCTTCCCGCTTCTCGCACGGTGGCTTCGTCCTGACCTTTTGTGCCGTAGCTGACGTCATCGGGCTCGTGCTTTGCCTCCCGTTGTCTCGCAAGGCGACTTCTTCGCAGCCTCTGTACTGTAGCTGTCGGTGTCGGGCTCTTGCTTCGTCCCACGCGTCTCGCATGGTGGCTTTTCCGTGGCCTCTGCGTTGTAGCTGACGCCGTAGGGCTCTAGCTTCGCCTCCAGTTTCTCGCACGGTGTCTTCGCCGCGGCCTCTGCGCTGTAGCTGACGGTATTGGCCTCGTGCTTCGCCTCTCGCTTCTCGAAGGGTGGCTTCGCCGTGGCCTCTGCACTGTAGCTGACGTCAGTGGCCTCGTGTTTCGCCTCCCGCTTCTCGCAAGGTGGTTTCCCCGTGGCATCTTCGCCGTAGCTGGCGGCGTAGGGACGCGGGGTCGGGCTCAAACTTCGCCTCCAGCTTCTCACTCTGTGGTTTCGTCGTGGCCTCTGCCCTGTAGCTAACGGTTTCGGAGGCGTGAGGAGGTCGAAAACGGCATGTCTGAAGGCCACCAGCCGCTGCCTCCTCACTGGCCTGCGTTTAGCTTTGGTCTGCATGATTCCTTGCGTGGGGTGCCGATGGGGGTCCTTCAGAGCACACATCTCATCCGTCACCCAGCAGCCCTGCATTGGCGCGGCCACCGATTGCCGAGCGGCGCGCGTGAGGCCGGCCTCCTGGGCGGCCCGATCGCGGGCGATGGCGCGAGAGATCGATCGACCGACTCCGACGCGACCCAGATCGGGCCCCCGCCCAGCAGAGGCCAGATGGGCTTCTCTTCATCCTCCTCCTCCTCCTCTTCCTCCGCCTCCTCTTCCTCCTGTTCTTCTCCTTCTCCTTCGTCTTCTCCCCTCCTTCCGTTCCTTTCCCTTTCCATTTCCCTTCTCCTTCTCGTTCACCGTCCCCTCCTCATTCTGCACCTCCCCCATGTGTCTCCGCCTCCTCCTCCGCCTCTTTTCCTCCTCCTCCTCCTCCCCCTTCTCCTCTTCTAACCCCTGCTCCTCGAAACTCTAAGCCCCCCTGGACCCCTCGAAAAGACACGGATGCCCCTTCACCTTCTCTTCTTTGCAGTGCGAGTTCTCAGACTCCTCGTGAGGCCCTTACTCGCATGCCTCTATACTGAGTCGACGTTAGACGACCGCATGATCCCCGCCCTCCCCGCTCGTCAGCCTCCTGGAACTCCTGGCTGGGCACGTGGCCCAACTCCGAGAAGCCCCAGAGGTAGGTGGCCAGCTGCGCTGGCGTCGACTCCTGGGAGGACGAGGGTGGGAGGGGGGTAGGAGCCCAGACGCCCAGCGCGGCGGGAAAAACACGGCGGGCATCTTCTCCAAGTTTCTGCTTCCAGATATGACGAGTGCAAGCCCCTATGGCCACTCGGTCGAGGGCGCCAGGCGCCCCCCCCTCTCTCCCCCCCCAAAAAAAACACACACACACAGGCACACACACACACGGACACACACACACACACGAATAGACACACAGACACACACACACACAACACACACACGGACACACGGGCAGACACACACACACACGAATAGACACACAGACACACACACACAAAACACACACACAGACACACACACAACGACGCACCCACAGACACACGAAGTCGGATGCAGGAAAAGAGCTGTCACATTTGATGTGGTTGTGTTGGACCTTCCAGGTGGGTGCGGGGCGGGCCTCGCCAACATGGATGGATTCGTCCCGAAGTCCTGGTCGAAAGGCGTTCCATGACAGGTCCAAGGGAGGAGGGGGAGGGAGAACGTGCTCCATCCGCCTTCTCCGCCTGCCTCGTCGGCTCCTCCTGTTCATTCGACTTGAAATGGAGGAGGGAGAACTGGGAAGGGAGGGAGGGGGGGAGCGGGGGAAAGGAAGGGAGTATACTTGGGGATGGGTAGTTGAGGCGAGGGGATTCGAGGAGGGAGGGGGGAGGGAAACAGAAGGAGGGAAGGGAAGGGAAGGCAGGGAAAGAAAGGAAGGCTCAGAGGAGAGGAAGGAGAAGTGAGCTGGGGAGGTGACGGAAGGAAGGCTCGGATGTAGAGAGGGAGGCAGGGGAGGGAGGGGTTGAGAGGGGAAGGAGGGAAAACAAAACAGAGGGAGAGGATGCAGGAGGAACGTGAGGGGCATCTGGGTCGCCCTGCCTCCAAAGAGGCCGAGCCGAACACGAACATATGCTGAAACGCACAGGGGCCGTGGCGCACCTGTGGGGCGCCGCCGTTGGTAGTGAATGCCGTCGCGGGCAACCAACTACTGTAATACGCATCAGGGGCGAGGGGCCCATCGAATTGAGGGCACGCTGCCGGGACACAGTCTGCCTAGACGCATCTCATGGACAGAGCTGCTTACCGAAGAGTTACTGTCGCGAATCCCCCAGCCCACCCCCGCCAACCTCTCAAAGCAACCTGAGGCGTGCCGGAAGCGAGAGGGGACGCTCGAACTGAGATGTGAACTCAATGGGCTCCTCCGCACGATCTCCCACACCTTTGGTCCACTTATTCACGTTATGTTCAATCTTACCTTCACCCTCCTGGTTACAACAACACCAAATGGGACCACATCCGAATTCAGCTTCGGAACACCCACCGTGATACGTCATACATTGTGGTTCCCACCATCGAATATCACTTCGAGGGCGAGGATGCCTTACGAAAACAGGTGACTGTATTCACCAGTCTCGACACTGCTTGTGCTGATACATTGGCAAGTTTCAGCCCGTCTCTCCAGAATCCCTCTCCCATATTCGCGTCTGGGTGGTGAGAACGGACGCTTTGCTCGTCCGACGCCGCCTCCTCTAAGCCAGTCTGGAGGCCCTCAACCAGGCAGCCATCGATCCATCACCGAGTTCAACACAGGCGGGGCCGCCTCGTCTCCCCACCCCTCCCACTACCACCCCGTCCTCTGCTTATGTGTTCAGCTCTGCGCACACTCTAGGATAGAGTGGCACGTGTTGTTTGGTTTGCAGGACTTCCGCCACAGCTGCCACCCTTCTCGCGTGGCGGAGCCCACCCTGCTTCCAGCTCACTCCAGGGGATGCGCGTGTGACTCATGCGTCCAGTGTCCCAGGGGTCGGCACTTACACATGTGTGGGGGGTGGGTGCATGACTCCGACTTCATGGTTTAGCATGCCTCTCTCTGCTCATGGTTCTGCAGCATTTACGGTTACTATAGAAGTGAGATGTTGAAGCGTTAATTGGAGGAGTCTTGTACATGGTCTTTGGATAAGTCAAGGTCTTTGGCTGAAGGCTCTGACTCGCCGCCAACAGGCAGCCACGGCGGCGAGGATAAGTTTCTTTGGGATCATGATGTGATAGCGTCCACTCCACTCCACTCATCCCTCCTCCCTGCTCCTCCCTCTCTGGACGGCCTCCATTCTGTTGAGGATCGCGGCGTCCAGGGCCCGCAGGTACCCCTCCCCTGGCAGGTGGTCCAGCTTCACGCAGGCCCACAGCAGGTTCGCGAGGTCCTAAAGGGGGAAGGCAGGGAAGGTGGACATGAGGGAGAAGGTTCGCGAGGTCCCGAGGGGGGGGGGTAGGAGAGAGGAAGGAGGAAGGAGGGAAGGAGGGAGGGGGGGGGAAAGGGATTCAGCACGGAGAGTGGGAGTGATGGGGGAGGAGAGGAGAGGAGAGGAGAGGAGAGGAGAGGAGAGGAGAGGAGAGGAGAGTAGAGCGGGCGGAGGAGGGGACGGGGACGAGGAGTGAGCGGAGGAAGAGGAGCAGGTCGAGGAGCAGAAAACACAGGAGGGGGGAGAGGACGAGCAAGTGGACGGGATGACCGAGCGGGGCAAGTCCGGGTCCTTGGCATCTATGTAGGAGAAGGCCGGCACAGTGCGGCCCATCCTGGCTATGGCCCGCTCGACAAAGTCCTGCGGCGCCGCGCGTGCCAGGCGAGGGTGGGCGGCGACGAGCGGAGAGGGCGACGGAGCAGAAGGAGGACGAGGAAGGCGAGCGGCGAAGATGAGGACGGGAGAGGAAGTGGAGGGGAGAGGCCTTGACGTGGTCAGTGGGGGGAGGCAATGGCGAGCGGAGAGAGCGACGGAGTAGGAGGACGAAAAAGGCGAGTGGCGCGGAGGAAGACGAGGAGGACAGGAGAGGAAGAGGGGAGAGGACTCGAAGTGGTGGCTCTGGGGCGCCTTTAAACCACGTCAGTGGGCCCGGCTGCCTGGTGCCACCGCCCTGTGGAGCACAATGGTCTCAAGCGTCCGTCGTGGTTGACACCCAAGGTCGGGGCAATCACTGGGCGAGACGAAGCGTGCGCTGGGAGCTTCCAATACCGACGCTGATAGATCGCTCAAATGCGCCACGCGTAGCAAACCAAAGAGAATATGCAACCAGATGGAGCGACCCTTGTACACCATCACGTTTCAAATACCAACGTGAAAGCTGGCTACCGCATCAATGGGTAATGTAGTATTGAGCGAGCTCTTGGGATGCTTGCCAGTATCATGCCCACTCACTTTTCACGGTGGCCAACATCCTACGCTCACGATGGCGGGGGAACCTGTCATCAGAAGGCGAATCATGGTAAATAGGGCTCCAACAATCGGACGCGTTCAGTGGCCGAAAACGGCCGTCTGATCAGGGCGTGAGTGTCTGTGAGGCGGCTCTACACCCAACGGCCCAACCGCGGCCGACGATCGTCTCGAAACGGCTCGTGCCGTCATTTGGGCAGCACGAACCGTTTCGAGACGATCGTCGGGCGTGCTTTACGTGTGCGTGCCCTCAGGCGCAGCATACAATTTTTTGAAAGCACACAACAAGCACGCTGCATGACAATTCGCTTAACAGGGTCAAACGTACCACCTGTGATAATTAGCAAAACGCACGAGGGACTTTCCACGGGGAGGCACATGCCCCATGCCCGTGCATCTTGTCATTCGAATTGTGGGCACTACGTGAGATATTGCTACAAGGAGAAGGGAAGCAGGGGCATGGCCCAACCCGGGCGATGGACGGGGAAGAGAAACAAGAAACATAACAAGAGGCGGAGGAAATGAGGTGGACAACGGCTCCCACCCGCCGAGCAGCTCGCAGCCGCGACGCTCGCACCCATCCTGGGAGACACGTGCTGCTGAAAGAGAACCCTTTGCAACAAGAACGGCCGAACTAGACAGAACCATATTCCCCCTTCACCCTGGGACCTCAACACTGGCAGGTGTTGCATTCGGGATGTTGGGTTCAATGCGTTTCCAGCCCCGCTTCTCCCCGAACTCTTGTTCAACATAAAGGCCAGGGGTGGAGGTGGTTCCCCAAAGATTGTTGACAAAAAACCCTTCAACATTAGCACCCAGGGTTTACGGAGTCTACGCAGTAAACAAATCCGCGCCTACCCACCTCCTCACCGCCGCCCACAGTCACACGGTAGGCGCTGCACAGCTTGCAGGGCTGGAAGAGGAGGAAGGAGGGACGGGAGAGGAGCAGGAGGTGGGGGAGGGGACGGCACGGCTGCGGCTCTGTCCATGTTCGTGTTCCATACGTGCAACCCCTCATGGGGTCTCTCGCGTTGGCGTGGCCATCGCCATCATCACCCGGTGTCGCTCTATACTGGACGATGCCGCGCTGGTCTCTGCCTGCGCCTATGCTGCTATGGACCGTACCGAGCTCAGGGTTCAAACATCCAGCACTCAGCCCACACGCCTGAGGGGGGAGGGAAGAGGGAGCGAGGAGAGGGGACGGGAGAAGCAGCGGCAAGAGAGAGCCAGGAGGCTCTGTGGGCGTGCTGGTGCCCCCCGCCGAGGGGAAAGATGGGGGGACCAGCTCAGGGGGGGAATCATCGACCCGGAATCGGGGATACATCGCTGACAGATCGGCGATAGGCCCCCGATGACGAATCCACACGATCCTGGGCGGGGTGGGTTATCAGGCCTCTATCGGCGATCAGTGGGCGATTGGGTGTCGATGCATCCCCAAGTAAGCCTACCTCCCCCCCCCCATTGCTCCTGATCCCCCCCGCACCAAGGAACGCGCGCGGAGACCCGAAGCGTCCTCGCCCGGGTGGGCGCCAAGCTTGCCGTAGAGCCACAGCACGTACGCCAGACCCCGCGGCCCGAAGCTGGCCAGGTCCCGGGACGGCTTCGTGGGCAGCGCCTCGGGCCGGAGGCGAGCGCGGTGCGGGGCGGGAGCGGGTGACGCCGAGAGAGGCGACTCCTCCTCCTCCTCCTCCTCTTCGTCTTCTTCTTACATTAGTATTATGCTTCTTCTTCTCTTTCGTACTAAGACTGTTATTAGTATTATTCCTCTTCCTCTTCCTCCTCCTCTTCCCCCTCCTCCTCTTCCTCCTCTTCCTCCGCCTCCTTCTCCTCCTTCTCCTCCCCCTCGTTCTCTTCCTCCTCCGCCTCCTCCTCCTCATCATCCTCCTCTGGCTCCTCCTCTTCCTCTGTCTCCTCCTCCTCCTCCTCCACTGAATTGATATGAGTATTATTATTCTTATTATTATTATTAGTATTATTATTAGTATTATTATTATTAGTTTTACTACTATAATAATAATTATTATTATCATCATCATCATCATCCTCATCATCATCATCATCATCATCATCATCATCATCATTATTATTATTATTATTATTTTTAGTATTTTTATTAGTATTATTATTATTAATAGTGATAGTAGTAGTAGTAGTAGTAGTAGTAGTAGTAGTAGTAGTAGTAGTAGTATCAGTATTATTATTATTATTCGTAACATTATTACTACGGTTAGTAGTATTGATATTATTATCTTTATTATTAGTACTATTATTTGGTAATTCCATGTATAATCTGATTATCGGTTGTATTATTTGTAGTCGCTTTCGTGTGGGTATCCATATCCGTATTATTACGTTGTTTCATCTGATGCTGCTTATAGCTAGTCTGTTTCATGTTCCTCTTCCTCCTCTTCCTCCTCCGCCTCCTGCTCCACCTCCCCCTCTTTCTCCTCCTCCTCCACCTCCTCCTCTTCCTCCTCCTCTTCTGTCTCCTCTGACTCCACCTCCGCCTCGTCCTCCTCCTCCTCGTGCTCCTGCTCCTGCTCCTCCTCTTTCTCATCATTCCCTTCCTTCGTCCATTCTCCTCTCATCGTAGTTATCATTCTCCTCCTCCCTTGTCATTAGTTATCCTTCCTCCTTCTCCTTTCGTCGTAGTTTTTTTCCTCGCATCGCCATCGCGAAAGGCGCGCCGCGGGCGGAAGGCGCGGCCTCCCCAGACCACCTGGGGACCTTGCTTCCTTAGAGGGAGGGAGGGGGGAGGCCACCCGTCCGTCTTGCATCCCGAAGGTCAATCAAGGTAGGGGGAAGGGAGGGGGGAGGGAGAGGCCCCGGTCATCGTCCCTGCAACGCGTTTGATGTAGACGTTGTACCCCTGTCCGTAACGCTGTGCCGGCCGTCTGCGGCTTCCGCCCGATTGTAGCTATGCCTACCGTGGACTCTCGGCCGTCCTCTCATCGGACCGTAGTCAGCAGGGTGTCGGTTTGCATGACTGTGCAATCGACGCACTTTTGATGCCGAGCTTCGCCTCGACAGTATCACCTCTGGTAATAGGTTTCCTTGGTCTCCTCGGGCTGCCGACTGCGGCGGCGCCCTTCCGCCGCGTCGTTGCTTGCCAAGCTTCTCAACAGCCATGTCCCAGTGAGCTTCGCTGATGTTCTGGAGTGGGCCCCTGCTTATTCTACTTTTCACGTTTTGCCACTGCTGCTCCACTAGGTGCTGGGGATATGCTTCCGCGTGCTCCGTCGGCAAAGCAAAAGAGACTCTCTGGGCCCCAGCCTGGGGCTTGCTCCCTGGCTGCCCCCTCGCCGCGTTCATCTTGGTAGTGCTCGTATGGCCGTGGAGGCAAGCCACTGGCCGGGCAAGTGACAAGCTCTGTCGGCGCATCTATGTGGACGATTTCGCGCGGTGGTTCAGGACGCCTTCTGAGCTCGGAAGCGAAGCCGCCGAGAGCGCCCGCAATGCGCTGCGCCTCACAGGCGCACTCGAAGCGGCGATGGGGTGGCGCTCGAACCGGACAGGCGCCGGCAATATGCCGGCGGCCGAGCGGCGGTTCCGTGGCTCGCAGAGCAGACGCCCAGCATCCGAGCCCAGCCTGGCTTTCGCGATCTTGGGGCGGCGGCTGTAGCCGGTGGCAGCTAATTGCCGCTGCGATTCGGCCAACGCTGCCTCCTGGGCGCTGTCGCGGGCACTGCGCCCGGGCCATGCGGCGCCGCCTGCGGGCTGCCTCCGGCTCGCGCTCGCCGCGATCCAGACCGCTGCGCGACAGGCGACGCGCGGGGGCAGATTCCGCGCGGCAGCGAAACTCGTCCTCGGCACGCTGGCGCCGGGATGACGGCTGGACGCCGCGGCTGTGGCAGGCGGGGCGAAGGCCTTCCGTCGCCAGCGGTTCGCCGCTGCCTTGTGCCGCGCGGCGGCCGGGGCGAGGGCTGTTGGGCGCGGCCCCGGGGCGGGCCCGCTACTTGCCGCGGTCCGCAGCATGGCGAAGCTCCTGCTTGGGGGCGACGTCGAGGTCTGGGCGGGAGTGCCCGCCGCGCAAGCAGGCTGGCGCCCAGAAGTGCGTCCGCTTCAGGGCACCCGCGCCGCCCTGCTGGAGGCCTGGGCGCGCTGGGAAGCCCGCGCCCCGGCGGCCCGCCCCGCGGACTTCGCGAGTGCGCAGGCGGGCGCGGACAGGCGGGCCACTCGGCGGCTACTCGAGAGAAAGGGCGCCTTGGCACCAGACGCCGCCGGCGCCCTACGCGCGGCGTTTGCCAGCAGCGCGGTCAAGGCTTCTGCCGCGAAGCGGGGCGAGCCGGAACGCTGTCCGCGCTGCGGAGCCACGCGCGAAGACCGGCAGCGCCGGTTCTGGGACTGCCCGCGGCGGGCCGAACCGAGGCGCGCGGCGATCGTTGCCGGGCGCCTTTCGGCCGCTGCCCTGCAGGCCCGCCTGCCGCCAAGGGGCGTGAATTCCGGCGCGCTTCCGCTCGGCGCCCGCCTGGCCGCGCTCGCTGCTGCCGCAGCCGGCGCCAGCGCCCCCGCGGCGCCCCCCCCGCCGCTCCCTCCCGCGCAAAGCGCGGCGCGGTGCAAGGCCTGGGCCGACGGCTCACCCTGCCGACCCGCCGCTGGCCTGCGCCGGATTGGGCCCCCGCTGGGGGGATATACCGCGGGCGCGAAGACCGTCGACGGGGCGCCGACTGCGCGGCGCGCCGAGCTCACGGCCTCGGTGCCCAGCAGCCGTTCGAGGTCGTCACAGACTCGCAATGCGTCCAGAACGGTGTCTCCAGGCACCGGCAGGGCGTTTCCCACAGCAGGAGTGGACGCATTCTGATTTGTGGAAACTAATCGATCCCCCCTGCCGATGCGGGCCACCGAAGGCGAAGTGGGTCAATAGCCGCCTGCCTGGACGGAGGCGGCGCAGCCGCGCGCGGCGTGTCCAGCGAGGGGCAGCTGGGCAATGCAGCCGCGGACCACCTAGCAAATCCGACGGCCTCAGCGCGGCTGCCGCCGCCGGATTTCCTGCAGGCTCGCGGGATCACGCCGCGCGCCCTCCGGACTCCGCAGGCGAGGCTGGCCGCCGAGGGCGAGCTGGCGGCGGTGCAGGCCCGCCGCGGCAGCTCCGGGCCAGCCGCGGCGCGCGCGGCGCTGCTGGGTCGCGCTGGGGCCTCGGCGCCGCGAGCCCAGCGCGAGGGGCGACGGCGGCCGCGGCCTGGTGAGCGCTGCTGGCAGCCCCGCACCCAAGCATCGCCGCGTCGGCCAGCGCACTCTTCGCCGGCGCCGCCTGCAGGGCGAGAGCGCGCCGCTTCGCAAGAGCCAGGGTGGGTGGCTTGCGCGCGACGCGGCTGTCGCTCGGGGATTTCTGGTCAGTCGCCGCTGCGCCGGGTGGGCGCCTGCCCTGCCGCCGCGGGCAGCGGGCCTTCTCCTGCTCCCGTGGCTCCGACTGTAGATGCAGTTGTGGGTTTACTCGATCACAGTAAGGGGTCCTCGACGCTCAGCTGAAGGTCCTCGTAGCTCTGCGCGGGGCCCCTGCAAGCCAGCTTGTGGTCCTCGTTGTTCAGCTGGAGGCCCCAGTAACTCTAATAGAGGTTCTCGTCGGCCAGCCTGTGGCCCCAGTAGTTCCGCTGGTGGCTCTCGTAGCACCAGCGGTGGCCCTGGTCACTCCGCCAGTGGATCTCGTGGCTCAGCCCGTGGCCCTCGTAGCTCCGCTGGGAGCTCTCGTAGCTTGGTTGGTGGCTGTCGTAGCTCTGCTTGCGGCCCTCGCAGCTCTGCAGGTGGCCCTCGTAGCTGTGAGATTAGCTCGCTCCCGTGGTCCGAATCGGGAGCCGTCGGCTGTCAGGTCGTAGTGGTCATTTTGCCCATCGGCGCGCCTTGCGATGGCACGGCCTCCTCCCCTCCTCGGAACACAGCTGGTGCCCCTCGGAGCTCTGCAGGTGGCTCTCGGGCTTTGCCTGCGGCCCGCGTAGCACAGCTTGTGGCCTCGTAGCTCAGTTCGTGACTCTTGGGGTCCTGCTTGTGGCCTTCGTAACACTTCTGCTGGCTCTTGTAGCTTCGCAAGTGGCCATCGTGGCTCTTCGGGTTGCCCTTTAAGTTTTTCTTCGTGGCCCATCTAGCTCAACTGGAGGCCCTCGCAGCTATACTGGTGCCTGTCGCAGTTCCGCAAGTGGCCATTGTGGTTCTGCGTCGCCCTCGTTGCTCTGCTTGTGGCTATCGTAGTTCAAGCGGTGGTTCTCGTGGCTCAGCCAATGGCCTTCGTAGCTCCTCCGGCGGTTCTTGGGCTCGGGAGGTGGCCATGGTTTCAAAGCTGATGGCTTCTCCAAGCTCTGTTCCTTGCCCTCGTAGCTCTGCTGATGCCATCGTTGCGTAGGAGGTTGCCCTGGTAGCTCTGCTGGTGGCCCTCGTCGCGTAGCAGAATGCCCTGGTAGCTCTGCGGGTGGTTCTCGTAGCCCTGCTTGTGGCCTTTTGTAACACTGCTGCCACAATGATGAAGCCGCTTGTGGTGTATTCGTCGGGCCGTTGTACTCACCATCGCCGTTGTATGCGACAGAGCCGTGATTGTCGTAGGCGGCGTAGACGTGGTTCACCAGTATCTCCACGACGATCTCATTGCTGATTTCGTACTTGTTGCATCATCAAATTGGCGTCCAC